TGGGCTAGGGAAGAGAGGTGAGAGCAGCCTCTTCACCTGGGGAGCCTCAGATTCCGTCCCCTCTCCCTTGTGCTTCCATCTATACATGCTATAACCAAGGGACCAGGGCTGAGTACGATCCCAGAGACTGGGCATCCTGCCAGTTCTGTCCCCTTACAATGGCAAGACATAAGAGTGCTCGCTCACCTGGGGCCAGAGACTGAAGGACCTAGAGAAAGCAAAATTAGAGTCTGCCCAGGCTGAACAGAGCCACACCCACCCCTCAGCATGGTTGATAATTCCCCCACATCAAGACATCTGGGCATCTGACTCAGCCTGTGAGGAAGGGATGAGTTTGAGATCCTGGGCCTGCTTCAGGTAGGGCTTATAGCCAAACTACTCACGCCTGTGTGTGTGTGTGCGCGCACGCGCACACACACACACACACACACACACACACATTCTACATGAGACTTTAGTAAAATGTGAGCGTCTGCCATTCTGGGGTTTTTATGCCTGGGAGAGAAAGAGAAGACATAGTGTGGCTAGGTGGAAGTAGAGATCAAGCGAGGGTGGTCTTTAGTGTCCAAAGGTGAGGCAGACAGGGTTGCAGGCAAAGGACTGCAAGACAGGTTCTGAAGGGCGAGCCTGGCCACCATGATGTGCTAATTACTATGGTGTCACTTCAGAGTTGTCTCATCTCCACAGGGTCTCATGTGGCTGGCCTAGCTTTTATCAGACACAAGAAAGTGGAAGACCAGCCTCTGATGGCCGTATCCTCTCCGGTGGCCATGTCCTCTTTAGCAAGACATTATTATTCCGTATAACTCGGAGGTGGGAGTGGAAAGTCCCAGTTCCCCATATTCAGCATAGAGACATTCATTAAATACTAGGTGGTTCTCTGTAACAACAGCAGGTTGATGGAGTGCAACACTGCTGTGGCCCGTGCCTGAGAAGTTCCTCCACGAGGTCCTTGAAAACCCCACACAGAAAAAAGAACTGCAGAGCAAGCCAGGATGGAGAGCGCACACGGAGCCTGAGACTCACACAGAAAGCATGGCCCTGTGCTCATGCTGCTACCTGAGTTATGACTCGGATGGACTTTCCCTCAGTTCTTTGTTCTTGAAGGAAATCATAGTTTAAGAAGTTTGTTAAGTAAAGCAAGGCACAAGGATGGCATAGTCCCGAGAGCTTGGGACAGGCAGACTCAAATGAGAAGACAGCAGCATGAAATCCAGATTTGATATTTGTGGAAGAGGTTTTTACGCATACTTACGAGGTGGATAGAATAGTCATGGAGTAATGTGGTCCTTTCATAGTACATTGGATCTCCCTTTTAGGGCTTTTCTTCCCATGATCCTCTTGAAAAGCTCACAAGAGAGGGTCAGAACCGCAGTGCAGGGGGTATAAGTAAGCCAGACTCTTTAGAGGATGCAGATCCCTCACTGGTGTGCACGTGTGGCAGCTGAGATAGGCCCCTGGCACTTAGCTCCTGATACAGCAGAAGGAGCTCAACGGCAGCTCCTCAAAACTGGACCTTCAACTCAAAGAGCGCTTTCGACGGTCGGAGACAAAGCTACAGGTCACCGCTACAGTTTCCTTCACTTCGCATCTGTCTGCCCAGCCTCAGTTCCCTACGTGAATGTGAGGGGGTTGACACTGTCAGTGGATTGATCCATTAGCACGTTTATAGTTTTATGGAATTATTGGCAGGTGGTGGAGACTAAGAGGCAGGGCCTGATTGAAGAAAGTCGGTCACTGAGGGCATGCCCTTGAAAGCTCCCTACCCCTACCCCCCATTTTCTTCTGCCATGTCCCACTGCCACGATGTGAGTGACTTGCCACTGGCTGAAAAGCAATGGACCCAGGTGACCGTGGACTAAAATCACCACTCCTGTGAGCTAAAACAAACCTTCAGCTCCCTCCTTAGGTTGTGTATTTCAGATACTTTAGTGACCGCAGTGAAAAGACCCTCATGTTGGAACACATCGGTTGGGGGCATTTCAGGTCCATTCCCTAACAGTCCACTTCTGGTCCCAGTGGATGCCTGGCCATCTGATCGTGCAAAATGAGTAATCCAACTTCAAGAATCCCCCCAAGTTTCAACAGTCTCAGTTAGTCACAAGGTCAACAGTCTCTTCTAAGACTCAAGGCACTGTTAGCTATGAGCCCTTAAGTAATAAAGCATTTACATTCTACCAACACCCAATGGTGCAGAGTAAATATTCTCGTTCTACAAGAGAGGAATGCAGTAGGGGAGGCGGTTAGCAAGGACGGACTGGAGCAAAGCCGTACCCCAAACCAGTAAGGCGAATATTTTATAAACACTGTAGCTAGAGACCAGAATTTAGAGCACATGGTTGCATCATTGGCACCATCTGGGTTCTTATGGGCTTGGTCATACTTATCCCAATGACCTGGCACACTTGACCTTTCACTCTGACTCCAGTCAGTGCCTGTAGCTTTTCTTAATATGCATGCAATACTTATGGCACCACTGCCATCCTAGGGTGTCCATGGCAACTTGGACCTCACTTCTACTGCCTCAGGCATTGCCCTACGAGGACCGCCCTCCAAAGATTCTGTCTCTGCCACATAGAACCTAACAGGAGCTTTTCTCTGGAACCTTGTGCAAGCTTCTGCAACCACATCGCTACTGCATTTTTGTGCATGCCTGCAAATCCAGCACCACATGCATGATACCAAGTTCTGGCTGCCAACTCAAGATGTGGCCCAGTTCATCTGGACCTTGGCTACAGTGGCCTCTTAGTTCCTGTGCCTCTGAGCCAGAGAAACATTTCCCTGCATGGACATCTTCAATCAAGGCACCCCTGTGGCTGTACTTTTCTCTTTTTAAAGAAGATCCTTTCCATGCATCTCATAGCCTGGAAATCAAGCGTGGTGGGAGCAGTGTCTTCCTTGAGGCACCTTTCCTACCATGTGAAGCTTCTGTTTAATTGTACCGGTATGTAGCTTGAGTTTTCCTGCCTGGCCCACAGTCAGGACAAATCTTTGTCACCCACCAGTCCCACAGCCGCTCAGACCCAACCAAGTAAACACAGAGACTTACATTGCTTACAAACTGTACGGCTGTGGCAGGCTTCTTGCTAACTGTTCTTATAGCTTAAATTAATCCATTTCCATAAATCTATACCTTGCCACGTGGCTTGTGGCTTACCGGCATCTTCACATGCTGCTTGTCATGTAGGTGGCTGGCAGTGACCTTCCGCCTTCCTGTTCTTTCTTTTCTCCTCTCTGTTAGTCCCGCCTTTATTTCCTGCCTAGCCACTGGCCAATCAGTGTTTTATTTATTGACCAATCAGAGCAACACATTTGCCATACAGAACATCCCACAGCACCGGTATTTTGAACAATTACATTGGCTTTATTTACACTCACCTTGTCTGTGGCTTCAAATGCTCTCGAGCCCCAAGCTACACATTGTTCCCGCTTCCCTGCCCCGCTTTCTCCCTCCATTCCCACCACAGGCCTGATTAGGAGCAACCAGAGATAATTCCTCTAGAAAACAAATCACTCCATTCCTTTTAGATTCAGTTCATGAGTGGCATAGAGCAAGAATCTTTGCCAGAATGTAGTGCGAATGGCCTTTACCCCAGTTCCCAAGTCCTTATTTCTGCCCAAACCTCGTGAGTACAGCCTATATTGTCCATATTTCTGGTGACATTTGGGCCTTCAAATTTCCATCACATTAGCCCATAGGTTCTGCTACTGCCTTCTGGGGCTTCTCTGGCTTCTGTCTCCAAACCCTTCCAAAGGTACAAGAACCACACGGTCAGTTTTAGTTATCTAATGACTCCTCTTCTCTGGACCAATTTTTCTGTATCTGTTACTTTTTTTTTTTTTTTTACTAAGAGAAGTAACAAGAGGGAGAAACTATTTGGGCCCAAGTCTGAGAGAGTACAGCCTCTGGGGGTGCACAGAGCATCATGGCTGGAGTGACTCCATCCAAAGCGGGAGCAGGGGTGCCTGGGTACATCAAACAGACAAGCATCAGAGCAGGACAGAAACAGAGGCATGGATAACCTTCAAGGCCTTGCTTCGATTCGTGAGGCCTCACGTCCCAAACCTCAGATTCCATAACCTCACCAAACAGTACTAGTCAGGGTTTCAGACAACACATTCCTAGAAACTGCCTTCACTGGGATTTGGATGTGGGTGGCTTGGGACCAGGGATCAGCCCATGGGGACTGCAAGGAGCCAGAAGCCGGATATGGACCTTTAGATGTTGTTATAGGTAAAGACCAAAGATAGGAATCTTGCCAGCAAGCTAACAAACATAATCAATGCTACCTCACCCTTCAGTCCCCACTACCTTGCTCAAGGGACCCCAGGCTTCTGCGGACACACTACTCCCCAGCTGTTCCCCTAAGGACACCACTCTTCCCGGACCCAATTTTCCCATTGCCTGGAGTGCTGCCCCTGGCTGATCTCACCCATCTCGGAGCACAGGCTACAGACTCATCCTCCACCCTCCACAAAACTTCAGGACTCACTATTCCTCCCGGCCTGATATCAGCAGCCTCTTCCAGGAAGCTGGCATCGTCTTCCTGGCGTGTGGCCAGTGGTGTGGCCTGAGGGAATGAGAAACTCCACTATATAACTCAGCCCACAGTCTGATCCTGCAGCTCCAGGGACCTGCAGGTGGGAAGGAATGGGTTTCTCCATGGAAGTATGACAGCTAGTCTCCTCTTGCCCTTCTTTCTATCTATCTCTTCCTTCGCAGCATCTGAATACCTGATTCCTCTACCTATTTCCCTGGATTCTGAATTCCCAATGTACTGGCTAGAAGCTGCATGCACACACACACACACACACACACACACACACACACACACACACACACACACACCTGGTCTATCTACCCAACTTCATTTCCTCCCTCAGACTTCCTTGCACTCAGGTAGCCCCAGTCCCAGGACTGTCCCCTTCTGCCATCTCCATGAGTCTCCAACAGGACCACAGGACAGCCTTATAAGAGCCTCCATCTCGCCCTGCTGCAGGTATGGGATCCCTATGGAGCTGCTGGGCACTCTGGGCTGCAGCATCCCTCCTATGGGGTAAGTCATGTCCTTGTCCATATCTGGGAAACTTGCCTGCCTGGGCCAGCGTCTTTCATCTATAACCCTTCCGTAAATCATCCTCAGTGTCCCCCAGGCTAGCCGACATGGGATTGAGAGCCTGTGAAAAATTAGGATTCCCTCACCCATGTTTAGCGTGTTGGCAAGTCTAGCTAGCTGCTTCTCTTTTTAGGAGACTTGTCTATACTTCCCTTCATCCTCTGGTTCTCACCACACAGACCTATTAAGAAAGAAACCATGCTGGCAACTGAGCCCAGTCAGACTGGAAGCTCCCACAACACTAAAAAAAAAATGGGTCGGAGATTTCGTATAAAGCTTCAGCTAGGCAAACAGTTTCATCTGGAAGGTAGAAGATGTGGCATGAAAAATGAGACACCACCAAACCACAATCCCAGTCAGCAAAAGAGAATGGTGGCAACTTGTTCTAGATGGAGCCTGGTGCTCCAGGGTCCACGGTCCCCTTCTGGACGGTCTCACTCATTTCTGGGCCTCCTCTGGCCCCGCTGCATTTGAGTTCCAGAGCACTGTGCAAAGCGCTCGGGTGTTGGGGCAGCGAAAGCCAGAACGGCGTGTGGATGAGCGCCGCATGAGTGAGGAGGGACGTGGGAGCAGAGGGGAGTTATCTCAAGAGGTTCTCAGGTACAGGCCAGCGGGCTGGGTTTGTAAGGGGACGAAAAAGTGGACCCACACCTGCGTTCTCTTAAGGGGTGACCCAGGAGGCCACAGTGAACTCCAGGAACACTGGTGGGGAAGAATTCCTCACAGCCTTCCTGCAGAATGACCAGCCGGGGTACGGCACGGCCTCTCTCCACCTCTTCATCTCCAGTCTGTCAGAGAGCATCACCTCTGTCACCATCCTCAGCCAGGCGGATGACACCTCCCAGAAGGACACAGTGAAGGGCAGGGAGTCAGCCACGGCCAGCGCCAGTGTCAAGGCTAAGGTGGCCAACTGCACACTTCCCAACATTCTGTGCTGGTCCACTCTGAGCACACCGGTGCAGAGCGGACTTTAAGTGCCAAGCCCAGCCTGGACTGACATGACGCTGCTGTGGCCCTCTTGGAGCCCTGGACACCGAGGGCTTTGTGCTCACTCCCATACCTCCCTTGACCACCTTTTCCCCACCTTTCCTGCATGTTCTTCCCTGGCTCCTGGGACCAGCTGGCCTGCCCACCTTCACCTTAGCAGCCCTGGCATCCTTTTTTAATTCTCCCCTTTTAGTCAAGAACAAGATTCAAAATCTTTACCAGCCAGAGTGACGCAGGGCACATGAAGCAGAGCACTGTAGTGAGAATCCCCCCACTGTTCCAGCACCAGCCTTCGTATGTTGGTTTTGGGGGAGGTTGTGCTCCCTGGGGAGACCCAGGAGGCCAGGGCGGGGGGATCTTTGGGAAGGGGCTGGTCAATATTTTGATACCTCAGTAACTGATACAGTTATAGCCGCTGCTAACTGCAGTACTGCACACCTCATGGAGGACTGTTGATGCTCAAAGTCTGGAGATCCAAACAGTGAGGACCCCGAGACGGGGCCGTCTGCACTCCAGCCTCCCTGGGTGCTTCATGTGCTTTGGCGTGGTTAAGGGACAGGGTCTGGCCCTGTGTGCGGTCTCAGGCTCAGCCCGTTCAGAAGATGCCAGCAGGTAGCTCAGGGTTGTGAGAACACAGGGCCAGAGCCAGAGGGCCTGGGGTTAAACCCCAGCTGTGCCTGTGTGACCTTTGGCCTGCCACCCCACCTCTCTGGGCTTCAGGTTCTGAGACTCTGAAGTGGGGATAATGCCTGACCCCCCACACCCACCCACACCAGGACTGTGGTGAGAGTG